ATATGTTTAGGTTTCTTTTTAAAAAAGATTTCCTTTTATTTTTAACGATGTGTATGCATGTGTTTCTGTGTGTGGGTATGTGCATGTGTGTGCAAATAACCAAGAAGTCTGATTCCCTGGAGCTAGAGTTACATGAAGTTGTAACCTTCCTGATGTGGGTGCCAGGAACTGAAGTTGAATACGTGCTCTTAACCATTAAATCACATCTCCAGCCCTTAGATGCTCTTTTTAAAGTACATCTTGAAGTTACTGTAGAGTCATGGCACCAAATACCAGGCTTCATTCGGGCACATTGGTACATGCGTGTCATGCTTTTTGATCAGGCTTCTGCCAGTCCCTCTTCTCTTCCCACATACTCTCCCTTTGCTTTCATGTCTTACTGCTATTTCTAATGTAGCTTCTGTGTAATAGGGAAATCCTGCCCTCCTGGTCTTGCTTATTTTTCTCAACACAGCAATCTTCAGTTCCATCCATTTTCTTCTTACTGATGTAATTTTTTCTCCTTTATGGTTGGACACAAGTCCTTTTACATTTTCTTATCTTCTGTTCTCTTGATGGGCATGTAGGCTCATTCCACAATTTGGCTATTGTAAATAATGATTCAATAGACATGGGCACACAGCTGTCCTGTATGTTATTTTCACGGATCCAAGAATCCATTATGTTATCATTTCCATGAGGATCAGAATGCTGTGGTTTCCTCCCTCTGTGTGTTCTTGTGGTGCCCAGAATGCATCTGCAGGCTGAGGACCCTGAACACACCCAAAGGACAAACAGCGACTACACCCTGAGGGGACCAGCTCAGGCCCTGATATCTGCACTCCTGCAGGATCTTCCTCCTCAGTGTCCTGAACCCCTGGGTAACCTCAGTATGGAAACTGCTTTCTCAAGCCAGAGCTGCAGTCACAGAACCCATTTTTCTTCTTATTCTAAGAATCATTTTTCTTCTCTGTCTTTGCCAGCTCCACCCCTCAGGGGACTCAAGGCAGTAGATTGGTTATGCTAAACACTCCACCTTAGGGGTTCCATTTTTTTTTTCACAGCAGCCCAGTCACTTATATAGTTAAGATAGACTCTTCTTGAAACTTCACCAAGCCATTTAATTTTGTTTTAAGTCATACCTCTGGATAATTTGTGTTTATGATATTTCCACTGTGCTCCTGAATTCCCAGAGAATATTCTGCGTGCATGACTCTCAAGTGCATGCCCTCTGTCACTGTCTTCTTTTCCTTCCTCACCCAAAGGCTAGTAACATGAAGCCAAGCACTGCATATTAGAGAATGTTTATGTCTTGATTGTGTAGACTCTATAATCATAAACCTGATAGAGATACAGATAAAGATATGAATGGTGCTAAGGGCAGTCAACAAAAGTGACAGGGGATTTGTGTTTTTGTCTTTCAGTCTCTAGACCTGTGGAAAGCACATTGTGTTTGGGACCTGCCCCCTCGACCTCTCAGCTATGCAATGTCCCTTGCTCAACAGACTGCATAGTATCTTCCTGGTCAGCCTGGGGCCCGTGCATTCATGAAAATTGCCGCGATCCTCAGGGGAAGAAAGGTGAGTGCCAGTGTGTATGCTTCATTCACTCCCAGTGCACGCACATCTATTCTGAGAGCTAAGCAGCTGATTAAGCCAGCTTAGGACAACATTTGTTTGTAGCATTTAGATAACTGGCTCAAGCCTGGTAGCATTTAGTTATTAGGGAGGCAGTTGGGGACATTTCTGTGGAGCATAGACTCCAACCTTGATTGACTTTTGTGTTAGACTCGTAGTGGAAGGAATGACTATTACTCAGTTGAATATAATGTAATGTAAAGTAATGCAATGAATGGAGCCAGGTAGAGTACTTGCATGTGTAGCATGCACAAAGCCCTGGGTTCTATCCCTAGCTGCATAAAACCAGTCTTGGCACATGCCTGTAATTCCATCACTGAGGAGGTAAAGACAGGAAGATAAGAAGTTCAAAGTCAACTTTAAATACACAGTGAGTTTGAGTCAAACCTGGGTTCCATGAGACTCTGTCTTGGGGGAAAAAACAGCCAAAAAAATAACTTGTTGTCTCATGCATATGATAGTTACATTGGCTTGTGATGTGTTCACTAAAGTCATATGCAATGTCAGTTTGTTCTGATTTTCACTCTATGGAACAAGAGGAAGAGGAGTATTGAACCTTGTTTAGGCAGAAACTAACTTTCATTCTTGTATCAACTTGTGGAAATCTCTACCTTAAGGGATCCTGAAATGCCTGTACTACTTTCTTGAATGACAAGTTCTATGGTTTGAATGTGAGCTGTCCCCCACAGGTTCATGTTTCAAACACTTCCTCCCCAGCTGAGGGTGCTGTTTAAAGAGGTTGTAGAACCTTTAGGGTGGGAGGTGTAGGTAGGACAGACACGTTCCTAGAGGCACATCTTTGAGGGTTATAGTTCCACCATAACTGAGATTTGAACAAACTGGGCCACAAGGTTCTGCTATACCATACGCAGAGGTTCTTCAGTCACCATGCTTTTCCTACCATGATGCATTATTCCCCTGATGTGAGCCAAAATAAACCTCTCTTCCCTTAGGTTGCTCCTGGAGATATTTGGTCATAGCAATGCGAGCCAACTAACGCATCATGTAGTCTCAATATCCATTAGGTTGTTGTAGTTTATGAACACAGATACATCCCCATTAACACTAACAGCTATAGTTTGTCAGCCTCTTGCAGTTATGCATGAGACTTGCATGTACTTAGAACCAGTTCTCTTATATTGCATCTGTGTCATGCCTGTTTTTAAGGGAATTCCTTGGAAAACCATCAGAGGCTATGCCAAGGCTCCAGCCACTTTGGCCAGAGTCTTCCAAACAGGTACAATTTCATTGCATGAAATGTTTCTGTTCTTTGCTTCCAAAGATGGAGAGTATGCAACACACCAAATGGGCTTTTTATTATTTGGGACACTTGGGGATGTAGGTGAATAAACCCACTTCATACTGATTTAGGCCCAAATCTTATTAACTTATCAACTGATTTAGCTAAAAATACAATGGCAGTCAGTACTACATTCAACAGTGTGAACAAGGTCAAGGGCACCTCAAACTCCTTTCAACCTTCCTGATTCTTCAGCTCTTTGGGTGGCTATTCCTCATTCCCTATCCTCTGCAATAGGCAGAGCTTCACAGAGTGAAGGTCAGCAAGAATTTCTATTTAAGATAATCCATAAGGTAATAGAGAATTTATCTCCAGTAGTTCCAGGAAGAATCCTGAAACTGAACTTCTATGCCTTCCTCTATTTCATGCCCATCCCAGAACCCACTCTGACTAGGGAGTGGGGTTTAAGTGCTCAGGCCCTAACCATGTTTCCAAAGATCAGAGCAGCCCAGCTGCCCCCAAGCCTCAGGGGGTGAGGGTAAGAGCATTGGAGGGGTGTCTTCTGGGTAGAAGGTAGAAGGTAGACGTGATTCTGGGGCCACACTTCATAGACAATGACTCAATAGATACTTTTTAAGTGCTCAGTCCCAGTCCCCTTACTGTGATTCTTAGGTTTCTGAATGGCAATTTGGAACATACATCTTTTCCTGTATCTGTGTTGTATTTATGTGCACTTGGGCCAATATCGTGAGAAACTGAACTTTTAAATTTTATCCCAGTCTTTTTTTTCCACATAACTTTGACAAATCCCGTAAAGCCTGTGAGAAAACTTACGAATCTGATTCCTCCATTTAACCCATTCCCTCAATGTGTCTTTATGCAGAACTTTCTCCTCACTCCTTATTCTGGGTGTGTTAACTCCTGAAAGTACACTCATATCCATCATTCATAGTATGTGTGTGCCCACCAAAAGATGTGCTCGAGTTCTACGTCTCATATGTTCAGTGAATAATTATGTTGGTATTTGGAAAAAGGTCATTGCTAGTGTAATCAAATTTAAATGGGGTTATACTAGGGCAGAGCAGCCCTGTTCTAGTGACTGATGTTCTTATTAAAAGTGAAACTTTGGACCCAGAGACATACTCACAAAGTAGAGCAGCATGTGAGAACACAAAGACATAGAAGACAAGGAAGAATTGCATGTGAGAAGAATTGAGACATTGGGAACCATAGCTGGGACCACCAGAGTGACAAAGGTCAGCATCCTCCAGACCTTAGGAGATAGGCATAGAACATTCCCAGAAGCCCTCAAAGCAAATACAGCCCTATGGATCTTAATCTTAATTTAGAGTTTCCACCTAAGGAAAACTGAGGTTATAGATTGGTGTCTTTCTAAACCAGCATGTTGTGGTACTTTGTTATGGTAGTCTCGGGACACTAGTACTCCACCCATCTTTGCATTGGTACTGTGGCTCTAGAAGGATGCAACTTGTCATAGAATGCCAAATTGGAAGCACAAAGAAGTGAACCAATTTGTCTAACATCCTATGATAACATAATAATGTCTATGCTGGACTGGGGAAATGGCACAGTTGCTAACATGCCTGATTTGTAAGTGTGAGAACCCAAGTTTGATACCCAGGACCCACATTCAAAAGATGCCCCGTGTACTGGTACACACTTATTACCCCCTTGTGGGAAAGGCAGAGAAAGGCAGATCCCTGAGCTCACAGGCCAGCTAGCCTAGTCTACTTGGTGAGCTCCAGGCCAGTAAGAGATCTTGCCTCAAAACAAGGTGGGCAGCACCTGAGGAACAACACAGAGGTTATCCTCTGGTCTCCACATACAGTCACACACATACACCTGCATATACATAAGCATATAAATACACATACAAATAATAAATTAATAATAATAATGATAATAATAATAGCTAAGCCAGCACTGACCACTAGGACTCCATTCTCCCCTGTACAGTTTCTTTCCAAACACAAAATTCCATTGGCTGATTTTCTCCATCAACCTAACCAAAGTAAAAATCCAGTCCCTAGAAGCAAAGCCATCTTCCCACTATGAACCCTGGTAGCCCAGGGTGAAACGTGACCCCTGAGAAGAATCCTTGAGCTGCTGTGGCAAGTTGAGAGTGGGGCTGGCATGGGGCTCCAGGGTCGTCAGAAGAAACGGGAGAGGATCCTGCAGTTGTTCTGATAGCAAGAGTTGGGGAGAGCTTGAGAATATGAGGTAACCATGGGCTTTTTGCCTCAAGCAACAGTTTTTTTCAGGGGTTCAGCCATGGGTTCAGAAGGACAAGTGGAGGCAATGGAATTTAGCTGTCTCCTGAGGGTGGAGGGGTCCTGCAGCATTTAGGAACATGGTAGAGTCACTGACATCATTTTTTTTTCTTTTTTTAATAGATCTCAGACTAGGATGAGGTGACTCACCCCAGTGCTAAAGTAACCACAGACAGGAAAAATGGACAGCCTTGTGATTGTTATTCTGGGCTGGGAGTTTGCTATTTTAAAATACTTCCCTAAAGCTGAGAGAATTCAGTCTATTAGGTCTTGCTAAAACCTGGCAGGACCACCTGCCTATAATTCCTCTTGGGAAAAGTAGGGAATGGATTTTTCCCTCTGGGGAAATGATTCTGTGCCTACCAGCAGGCCAAGCATGTGATGGTGACAGGGAGCAATCATCTTGTTATTTCTATCAACTATTGAGGATGAGGTCTGAGGTCTCTGTTTCTGTTGCACGATCCTGCAGGGACTGGGCCAGCATCACTCTTTGGCACAAAGTGAATGTAGCTTAGAATTCCATAGAGGCTGAACAACACAGGCTTATGCATTGAATGTTGCAAAACTCTGGGGCATCAGCGGAATATTCAGCTTCATGTGTGAATTCCATGCTCAAGAAATGCAATTTACTCACTCCAGAAATCCAAGACTTATATACATTTCTAAATATGATATACTCTCTTATATACTACAGACATATTTATACACATATATTCTTTTAAATATACATTTGTGGGTGTTAATTATGGAGATAGAAAGGCAGAAGGTTGAGGGGCTAGAAATCAAGCAAACAGCAGCAAGGAAACAAATGTGGGAAGGTGGAGATCGTTTCTCAATGTGCTCTTCTTATCCCAGTCACTAGACTTTTGCTTTGGCTCTTTTTGTTCACTTTAAAAAATAAGTAGAAAGAAATAGGGAAGTAGATGGTAGGAAATGTTTTACTACCTGATAGAATAAATTAGTTGTTTTAAAAATTATCTTGGCATGGCTGTTATTCTCAGTCAGACACCCTTCAGTCAGGCATCATCTAAGGCTTGCGGCTGTCAGCTACTCAGAGTGCATTAGAAAATCAGCTGATGTTCACAGGCTCCGCACTTTCACATCAGTGACAGGCAGACAAGGGAGGCCATGCTTGGCAGGTTGGTGCTTGTCAAGTGAAGCTGGGACACCTTTCAGAAGAATTTAAATCAGATCAGGTTTTATCATTTATTACTTTATTTCTGAGATACTCCCAGAGTATTATAATTACAGAAGTATGAAAGAGAATTAACCTGAAAAAAAATACAGAGACCCCACACATAGATGTGATGCAGTATGATAAATTCCTCTTGGTATGTAGAAATAGATTAATCTGACATCCTTATTCCTTGCAGACAAATTCTAGAAAGGCAACCTTCTAAACCGGAATTTGATGGAAGCTTCTGTCTGTGGCATCCTAATAGTTCCTGCCTTCTCTGCTCCAATACAGTGTACCCTTCACTTATAGCACCCGAGATCCTACAAAGTTCCTGCATAAAAAGACACTGTAAAATTGAATAGCTATGACTATTTTTGAAGACACCTTTTATGTTCTGAAACAAATTAATTTACAGAGCACACTATTGTCAGAAAATACTGATATGACTGAGATCTGATTTGACAGTGGAAGACATTTCTATTTTCCATCCTTAACTGCTAGGTGGACTCCACCTTTACGTTAACAAGAATCCTATAAAATCTTTGGTTTTATTAAAAATGGCATGCATATCAACAAACAATTTTTTCATTGGGGACACGTCTGGGCTGTGCCTACTTCTTACTCAAAGTATTGAGAGTTTTCATGCTGAGCTCACCTACTAATGCTTCTTATGTTCTGTGTTCATAACAGGTTGGGAAATAATCATGATACTATAAAGTGGACCTCTGCGGGAGGAATGGCTAATATCTGAAGAGTTGGAATCTAAGATTCAGTTTAGGGACCGGGAGGATAGCTCACTCAGTAAAGTGCTTGTCATACAAACATGAGGACCAGGGTTAGATTCCCAGAGCCTATGTAAAATGAGTCAGGTGTGGTAGAGTGCTCTTGTTAAACCAGCACTGGGCAGAGACAGGCTGATCCCTAAGGATCTCTGGCCAGTCAGCTTAATCTATTTGGTGAGCTCCAGGCCAGTGAGAGAACCTATCTGAATAAACAAGATGGACAACATCTGAGCATGATAACCAAGGCTGTATTCTAGCCTCCACATGCACACACTCACACATATGTGCACATGCACATACACAGATGTGCGTGTGTGTGTGTGTGTGTGTGTGTGTATGTGTATACACCCACACTTTAATCTGCTCAGGTTCTTGACTAAATATTGTTAGCCACTCTTCAGGGCTTCCAGAGACAAACAGCAAATGCAGCACTTAGGCTACAGTAAGCTTCTTCCATCTATGACTTGTCTGCAGGATATGTCTTCCAGCTTGGCCTTGGGGTGTGACTGTTGAAACAGCGTTGTTAATGGATAGCTTCCTGGAAGTTCACATGGACACTGTTAGTTCTATGACACAGGACAAATATAGTCCTCAGACCCCAATGCCCTGCCCCGAGTCTCCTTTAATTCTTCTCTGTCTTCACTTCAAAACCTGACTACCCTTCTGCCATCTGTTCCTCTTTTCTTAGTCTTCCCAACCCACTATTCCGTATTTCTAATCACCTCCAGTAAAATTATATACTAAACACAAATCTTGATGTCATGGAAAGCAATAATAAAATCCTAAGACTATTAGCTTCATTAAAGGTAGACTGAATCTGTGACCATGAACTGATGATTACAGCTCTCTTCTACTCAGTGCCTAAAATCCTGCTATCCAGTCTGTCTCTGTTCAGTTATAGGAATAACCCATGATGCCCTTTGAGTTCACTTTGTGCAGTTGGAATAAAACACCACACTCACAGTAGCTGACTCTGAAGTTAGAAAGCTTTGCTGACCTTTCTAACCTCCCACCTAATTAGTGTTGTGCCCTCAGAGAGGTAGTACACTGCAGTCAGGCCTTAGATTTCACACATGCAAAATGGGCAAAGCAATGTATGAAATTGTTCTAGGTCTATTAGTCCAGAGTAATATAAAGGAAGCTGCTGTCCCTGCTTGGTATATGGTAGATAATTACTATGCTTGTCCTTTTCTGGTTTTGAGTTATGAGTTCTGAGCATTTGGTGTATGTTTGCTGTCTTTCATACAGTACAGGAGAGCAAATTCCTATGATTGTTAATATTTATTAAATGTTACTATCTGGTTAACATGGAATTCAGTAAATGAGGCAAGAGTTTGGCTGATCCAGCCATAGTGGACTTGATTCCTATATATCTTCGGAACTGAATACCTAGGAGAGCTCTGCTGTTTACTGCAGGCATGGATATCTGTATGATTAAAGTTAAGTATAGCAAGAACCCTAGGTTCTTGTTTTATGCTGAGCTTGTGCTGTGATTTGATCCTGGTTAGAGCCAGGACAAGGGAAGCACAAAAAAAAGCCTGAAAGAATTTATTGACTGAGGAGATGTACTCTATAGATTTATGGCAAGATGAATGCCATATGATTTATAGAGGCAAACTACACTGGCCCCTCAATTGCTTTGAGCTCCAGGAATCAGATACCCAAATTCTTCCACAGAGAATGCTGTTTCTGTGCTCTGCTCTGAACTGATTGTCAAACTGTAAACAAGTACAAACATATGCCAGTAAATAAGCAGAGCACAGGTATTAGACATAAGAATAGAGGTCATTCAAGTCAGATGGTGGCAAAAGCTCAGAAGTCCTTGAATTTTAAGTTCACAGATATAGTTTAGAGCCCTGTGTGCCCTTGCATCATTCCTTAAGATGCCTGAAGAAGGAAGCTGAGCCCTCTGTAGGCTTGATTGTGAGTAGTTAGTGATGTGGAGCTGGAGGTATTATTATTTTTATTTTATTTTTTTAATCTTAATGGTCCTAACCTTAATGTTAATATCATTAAAATAAAGTCAATATTGGCTAAATGATGTCTTAATAGTGTACTAGTTACTTGCCTTCCTGTGGCCAAAACTTGACAAGAAGTTACTTAAGGGAAGAGAGATTTATTAGGGGTTACAGTTTAAGAGACTCTGTCCATAGTGATAAAGATGGCAAGGTGATAGAAGCCTGAAGCAACTGGTCACACTGTACCTGCAGTCAAGAATCAGACAGTGAACAGGAAGTGAGACTGAGCTATCAAACCTCAAGACCCTCCTCCAGTGACCCACTTCCTCCAGCAAGGCTCTACCTCCTAAAGGTTTTACTACTTCACTCGACAGCACCACCAGCTAGGGACTAGTGTTCAAACACCTGAGCCTGGAGGAGACATTTCACATTTAAAACACCACAAATAGGTAGCTGGAGAGATTGCTCAGTGGTTAAGAACACTGGTTGTCCTTACAGAAGACCCGGGTTCGAATCCCAGCACCCACATGGCAGCTAACAACTATCTGTAACTCCAGTTCCAGGGATCCAACAGCCTCTTCTGTCCTCTGTGGACACTGCATGAAATGGGTGTACTTACCTACATGTAGGCAATACATATATACACATAAAATAAAAATAATAAAATATTTTTTAAAAAAGAGTTTCAGAGACTTGGAAAAGGACAGTGTGAGTAATTTTAGATCAAGAAAACTCAAAGTACTTATGAGTTTTTAAATACAATACCCTGTAGGCCCTGCACTGTTCTAAGCAGGTCCAGCTCCCTGTGGTTTTCTGAGCCCACACAACATTGTATGCTGCCTCCCTGGATGTGATGTTTGTTCTACACCACACTTGGAGATTTTTCCTCTTTCCATCACATTCATAACATTAGGAAAATTGTGAGAAGGCTGTGCCTGGCCTTTTAACTTCTCATGCCTCCTTCATACGCCCTCCTTTCATCTCTTGTGAAAGGGCAGTGCTGCATCTCTTATTTTCTTTACTTACCCCAGGAAACCGACTGATAGTTCCTTAAAATGTTATCCATGCAACAGATTGGTTTTTGAGGAAGGAAGGAGGGAGGGAGGGAGGGAGAGAGGGAGGAAAAGAAGGAGGGAGGGAAGGAGGGAAATTGGAGGACTTGAGGATGAAGATTAGCTCAGTTTGTAGAATGCTTGCCTAACATGCAAGAAGCCATGGGTTCAATCTCTAGTGCTGCAAATACCACACAAGTTAAAACAGGCCTGTGATCCCAGCTCTTGGAAGGTAGAAACAGGAGGATCAGCCTCTTCCTCATCTTTGTAGTGAGTCTGAGGACAGCCTAGGATATATGAAACTTTGCCCCTCAAAAGAAAAAGAAATTAAAGGACTTAAATTGGTTGACTGAATTTGAATATAGCAGTGGAAGATAAGGGACGAGATCTATGCCCATAAAAGTAATGCATCACAAGAACCAAAGATTGTGAAACCATTCCATTAAGAGATTTCTTCTGGTTCTTAATCCTCCATCCATTTTTAAAGTCATTGTTTTTCAGTGTCATTCTGAATTATTTAAAAACAAACACTTCATGTAAAAACTAAATATAACTTATACTTCTAGTTTCTAGACAAAATAGAAAGATATGTTAAGAGACCACCCAGGTTCTCTCATGGCAGGAGCCCAAGGAAGCTGCAAAATAAAAGGCCTTTTAGGGCAGGCCTACACCCTCCTCTTTACTATGGTCTTAGCATGTTTTGCAGCTTTACAGTTGATCGGTTCCCCTCTGTGTGAACTTACCTTACTCTTATTCATATAGAATTTGTGGTTCTGTAGACTTGTAGAGTATTAAAGCCTGTTTGTGTCCTTATTATGGATTCTGATTGTAGGTATTTGAGGACCTGACTAGGAGTCCAGGGACTCATGCCTCATCAGGGTAGAGAATAAGGTCCCAGAGATGCTGTCTTTATAAGTCATGAAGATACAGAAATCTCAGGGAAGCCATATAAAGAATTCTCAAGGAAGGAACATATGAACTTTTAGGCACAGATATATGTCATGGTGAGGACATGTTTCTATTTAGTATAAAGTAACAAGGATGTCAAAAGCAACAACAGAAAGGAAATGTGAATTTGTCTGAGCAGACATCCATGTGGTTCTTCATGGATGTTACTGGATTATGAAAACCATTGGATGTACCCTATTCATCTGATTCCATCTAGACTGTTTAAGTTCCCTTGGAAGACAGTTTTATATTCTCATTCTTTTCCATTTTCTCATTTCCTTTCTTGTCCTCATTCCTCCACTTCCACAAAATAAAAGACATTAAGATAATACATGCGTCAGAAATATGAGTTTCATCTTGTACCTCGTTGCTGTATCAGAGTGGAATCCTCTTGAAACGTCCTTTCTTTCTCCTTTCAGTCTTTAGAATGAGACAGCGTCATGTACTTATGGAATCTACAGGACCTGTGGGGCACTGTCCTCATCTGGTAGAATCTGTGCCTTGCGAGGATCCAGTGTGCCATCGATGGCTGGCTTCAGAAGGGATCTGTATCCCTGATCATGGAAAATGTGGCCTGGGACATCGAATCCTGAAAGCCACCTGTCAGGATGAGCAAGGTAAGAGCTGTTGGCACATTGAAGTGTGACAAAATGCCAGTTAAAGGAAGTGCCACTTTTCAAAGATCTTCTTCTGGATGGAGAAAAGCTAAGCCTTCCTACACTGGGCCATTTGAGGTGAATCAGAGGCTATATTATTGTAGAGTGGACTGTGGTCATCTAGAACAAGGATTTTACCACACAGGAACACTAATTATGCCTAAACATACCACTGTTAACTCAGAGAGTTCTCTGGAGATATTTTTAATTTTTCAAGAAAATAACAAACAGAACTCTCCATAATAGTCTACAACTTAACAATGCAACACGAGTTCTATTTTCTTTTATTGAAGTCAATTTATTGCATACCTTTATGAGGTATTAATAAAATGCTACCTTCTAAAGGTTAAAAAGAGAGAAAAAAAGATTAAATGAAATCTTTTCATTTATATAACAATAGATCAGAATCATTTCTAAATATAATGCTAACATTTTCAAGGGGCCATTTTTAAATATAAGCTATCAGGATTGGCACAATTATTAATAATGATGTATGTCCTTGATCACCAAGCTTTCGGTACAATGCTCTTTAGAAATGAAGGGTGGTTTAAAAATATGTTAAGTCACACAGTGGTGAGAAAAGTGACATTTAAAAATCTTTATCCTGAAGATTAAAAAGAACTCAGTGTCTTGGAGGGATGTGGAGCATGCCTCCTAATCAGCCCTGCCATGCAAGGCCCCGTTTACAATACTCTTCATGTGTGGGATGAAATGTTTTGACTTATGGAGCAAAGTAATCCACAGAACGGGAGGAAATTACAAAAAGGATTCAGAATGGATGTTTAACAGCCACGCCAGGCTGACAGACAGCAACATGCCTTCCTCTTTTCTTCTGTTTTTCTCTCCCTCCCTTTCTCCTTTTCTCCCTCATTCCTTTTTTCTTTCTTTTAAATCAGTAAGGAGCAACTATATTTTATTAAATGATTTGTTTCCTTGTAGAAAGCAGATGGCTGTTTAATTAAATAGAAGTTAGCACCAGATTGTAATAGCTACAATAAATAGTTCAAACTAATAGTTGCTACTTCTGGTATTACCAAATAGTGTTTAAATTGAGGCAGCGTGTGCTTTATTAACACAGGCAAATAAGATCATTTTCATATTGTTTTTCTAGTATAATAGTTTATAATAAGAAATGTATAATTTGTTCTTCTTCCCCAAACTCTTTGCACAATGGTTTTAAAATCTTTGTGATTTCTTGAGTACTGGGTTCTAAAAGAAATTTTTCTCTATTATTTGATTTTGATACTGGTTTATGACATGAAGCTTTTAGGTCCCTTGCAAGTTTCATGGGTGATTAGGAATGTCTTTTATTCTTATAAGGTGACCAGGTTGGCTTCTGGTTTGACTGACCCCCAGAAAGTTAAGCCATTATTAGTTTGGAACTTTCATTTTTACCCTTCAAACACAGTAAAGAAGAAAGTGGCTAGAGATGACTTAATCATTAATCATACCTGTATGGCAAGAACTCCGTAAAGATCCCTGGACTACGGGGTTCAGAGATCAGTTCTTGCAAATTTCTGTGTGGAGATGCAGGCAGATTTGTAAGCCCAGAGAAACCCTGGATGCTTTGTACTCAGCTGCACAGTTTCTTACCCTATTCATCTCCTCCATCCATCTATTCATGTATATATCCTATAATGCTCTTTATAACAAAGCTATAAATATTATAAATACAGTGTTTTCTAGAGCTCTGTAAGCTAGCCAGGAAAATTCTGGATTCTGTAAAGGGGGTTGTGGGAGCCTGATTTACAGCACAGGTAACAACCTGGGGTTTGAAATTGTTATCTAAGTATAAGCAGTCTTAGAGGATGGGGCCCCTCACTGGCTGGATTTGACACTATTTCCATGGAAGGTAGTATGGAAAAAGAGTTGAATTGTTGAGACACCCAATTGGTGGTGGAGTGTTAGTTGGTGTGAGGGAAAAACACATAGAAGTGTTCTGTGCTGAGTGAGGTATCAGAAGTGCAGTGTAGAGGTTTAGATCCTAGGCTTATAGGTTGGAATTTTAACTCTATTATTTATCTGTTGGAAAGTCTCAGGCAAATTATTGAATTTGTGGAAGCATCTTTTCCTTTAGGTGTTGAGGGGAGATAATAAAAATTATCTCTACTTGTTAAGAATATGCGAGTTAGAACTGTTGCATCAAAGTGATTAATGATACCCCTGGTACATTACTTTCAAAATAAGCTTATAATGCACATTTACAATTTTGCTTGGCATTGTGGAAACAGTATGTGGGGAATTCTTTTATATAATGCAAATAATAGTGAAGATTAGAATAAGTATGTCTACTTATTCCTCCCATCCTCTGGCTGAGAAAATGGGATGCTCATTGGCTTGTTGGGACCCATAGAACCTGGTCATCATGCTATGGTCATATCATAACAGGTACTAGAGAGTTGACAGGACAGTCCATAGGGTTAGGAATTTTCTTCACAGTATATGTTCAACCTTCTTTAGTAGCTGTAAACTTTCCACTGTACCTTGCCACAGAAGAGTTGGAGCTCCTTTGTTTATTCCTATGAAATGACTAATCTAGCTTTTGACTGACACAGTCAACTTCTGGGGAGAGATGGAATTCATAATTGCTCATGGTAGCTCTATGAAGTCTTTATGTTTTTTTAAATACCTGGAGTACCTCCCTGATTGTGTGTAAGGCAACAATGCCATTATGGCAACTGGAATATTCTGATTTCCTAGCAACTGAAACAGTCTTGTGTCCAGTGAGAAATTGGAAATACAGTCTGGTTGCACCTTCTATGATTCAACATATTGTGATTATGGTGAGTTGATTATGGAGGTTTGGCAAGGAGCCCCCTATCAGACTTCTCACTTGTTATCAGGGTCTTTGCACAGCCACAACAGTGCCAAAACTGACAATCATTTAAATGCTTGGAGAAAGAAGAGTTTAGGATATCCAGTCTCCTGTGATTTTCTTTTGTAGTAACAGTTGATAAAATTTTCTTTTTATGCTGTTTATAAGCTGCTTTATATACTTTGTGTTTCAGAATTTATTTCAAGATAAATGCATGCGATCAAGAGAAATTGTCTTATATTTGGTATTAGAAACTCCAAAACTTATTAGATCTAATCAGATTTGCTTCCTACTAGAATTTTCAAGGGCAACTTGCTTTGTCTTGTTTATCTTTGTCTATAAGTCTCTGACCCGGATACTCCTCTGACCCTGTGATGAGGAGCCGTGGGCCAGCCTCCTTCCCCTGCTCTGAAATGGAGTCACTCCCCTTCCCTCTTCCAGCCAATCAGTTGACCATAGCTGCTTGCAGGGGAGGGGCTAGGCGTATAAAAGCTGGAAAAACCACAAGGCTGCTGTCTTGCAATTTTGTGAGGCTGTAAGGAACTATGGGATTTATGTTTGGGTATGGACTTTTGAACACAGCCATGAATTGGGGGGAAGAGGGTGCCCACTCTCCTGTAAGTAAACCCGCACCCCACGCTCAGATAGCAAGACCAATAAACTTGTTAAGATTCTTCAAACCAGAGTTTGGAGAATTCTTTACTCAGGTTGTCGCAAGGACTGTGGAAGGAAGGGATTGGATGCCACATGCACCTCCCAGCAGTGAATTTGACTTCAAAGTCTCTATAAGTATTCTGGATAGAAATATACAGCATGAAATACCCACCATCCCCATGAAATATCAATCAAAATGTCTGCCCGTTCAGTTGTGAAGCAAAGAGATTTTATTTTTCTTCATGTATAAATGTATGGTATGCATGTGTTTGTGTGCATTTTCACATGTGTGTGTATGCCTTCATGTGGAGGCCTGAGGTTGATGTTGACAGCCTTCTTTAATCACTCTCTGCCTTATTCATTGAGGGAGGAACTCTCAAATTGAAACCAGAACTTGCTGATAAAGCTAGGCTACCCAGCTTGCTCTGAGGACACCATTTTCACCTTCTGGAGCACTGGAAGTGCAGGTTGGCTGCCATGCCCTCCAGGCATTTACCTGGACTCTGGGGATCCAAACTCCAGCACTGGGGAGGTGGGAATAGGATGATCCCTCAGGCTCTCTAGCCGGCTAGTCTAGCCAAATTAGTGAGTTCCAAGTTCACTGAGAGATGCTTTCTTGAAAAATGAGGTGGAGAACAATAGAGGCAGAAAACTAATGTAGACCTCTGGTCTCTACACACATGTGCAAACACATACACAAACATGTGATCTATGGAATGTTGAGGGCCCAATCAGTTACCAGTGAATTTCTCCAACTAGTATCTGATTTTTAGATCCTTGAGTGGTGGAGTGGTTTTGATTATTTTCTCTGCACAGCATCTTACTCTTAATATGGGCCAGTTGAAGTTTCAGAGTTTATAGCATACACAGCTTGTTCTTGTTTCATTAGTAAGAGCATTTCTGCCCTTCAAAGGAGCCATTTCAAATATAAGTGGAGCATGATTTGAAAAATGCAGACCCAACACATTCCCTTCTGAGAGCACTACATTTACTCACGATGGCTTAAGCTTTGATTCCCAAACTTAAAGTAAGTTTATTATCACATCTCACTGGTGACTAATGAAGATTTACCAGGATGTGGCATCTTTTAAGCAGGCTGGAAAAATCTTCACAATGTTAGGGAAATGTTTCTGGTGGCCAGCAAGTGACCATCTTCCATGTTTCTAGGACTCAGAACCAGCAATTATTCATTATTCCCACAAGAGCTACAGGTGGATCTGCCCAGCTGTCTCATCAGATCCAGAGTAGTCAGCACCTCTTTTCTATAATTTACCAAAAAGTCTGCCTTAAAAGACAAAAAGAAAACCTTTCCATATATTTCACCAAGCAGATTTATTCAGGTAGTGAAAACACATTCTGTACTTATAGAAAGCAAATGACTACCCTGCTAAGGTATAAGTATCAGAGTGAACAAAGCTTACATGGTAGCAGGTACGTGAATTAGAGGTCTTCCAGGTTGCTACACAACCCTTAGATACAAGACTTCTTGATT